AGTAAATTTGTTTTCGATATATAAGATTTTTATTATTTTATTTTTAATTTCAACATCCTTCAAATTGATATCTTGGATGTGGATATTCACGAAAATACGTGTCAATTCGAGTTTAATGATATAATTTATTTTATTTATCTCGGCATCAAAGAGTATTAGTATTTAATTTTATGGAAATAAATTAATAAAATAAGATCAGATTTTATAAAATTGATCAATTTGGAGTAATTGATTTGCTCGAGTATAAATTAAATAAAAAGTATAAACACAGAAATGTTATAACAACGTTTTTCAATATAAATTTTCCATTTATATAGTTAAAAAAAAATACTTAATTACGAAATTGTACATTCTGAACAGAACATATACTAGTTTAAAAGTTGCCCAATGTGCACATTTTTTTTTAGAAACGACATCTAAAACTTTTTTGGATCTTGATCAGATAAAAGATTGTATATGTGTTTTAAACTATTAAAGAATAGCAATGGTCAAAAATATCTAATTACATCAATCCAACTAAAACTATTTCGATCTTAAATTTGAAAATAATTGTAGTTAAAAACGAAAATAAAATAAGTACACTTCAATTAATCGATATCAATATTCCTATTGATCCCAAACAAATCGTGATAATTGACCCAGATTACGAAGAAGACAATTAATCAATCACGTTTCTTTTTTTTAAAATAACGATGCAAAAGATATAACGAAAATTTATTATCTACTTAAAAGAAACACGACGGATTAAAAATTACACATATTCTACTTGATTTATACTGATCGAAATTCGTCCAAAATTCTGATAGAATATCTATTGTTAACAAACGATTTCAAAGCTGGATATATTAAGATAAAAGTTTCATCGAACGAATCACATTACTTTTAAGAACAAGATTCACACTTTAAAACCGACACAGAGATCAAAGTTTGACAAACCGGGTATCCATGAAAAGGAGCATCATCCCCTTTTCTCGATAGCCTAGAGCGATGGCATTCATCGACCAATAGGTAATATACACTTTTCCGACTCGAAACCCTTTCGCACACAACTTTTCCTTTTCCATCAATTCCACAATCTAATACCACACATCGACTCCCCTTCGAGAACCACGTCAAATCTATTCCCAGGATCCCAACTCGTCTAATTTCCACAAATCCATCTTCAACAATCTAATCCTGCACTCCATCTTTCCCCCAACAAGCACAATATAGCTGAAAGATGAGATTCAGCGATTGTACTCTACACTTAAATCTAACCTACATCGTACATCTCCATTGTTTCTTTCGAGCATATATACATATACTATAACAAAACAACTTTATTCACTTGCTAAACTCGTCTGTTTATCGGTTTATCGTTTAATAATATTTATAAATGCTTGTTATTAATTTTTTTCGCGAGTCAATTCGTAAAACCAATAAATTATTATTAAATACCAAAAAATCATTAGTTTCAGAAGTTAATTTTAATCCTAATTTTACAAGAATATATATACTTTATATATTTTTTTTAATTAATTAATTTTATAAAAAAGACAAAGACACAACTGATTAACTTTACAATTACCAACATCTTCGAAAAGTATTATTTGATTTTTTTTACACGATTACAAAGGAGATATGTGGCAAACGATCGTATCTATATTTCGTTCACCCGGTATACATTTCTCACGCAAAGTCCATTTCCATCCAAGATCTATTTTCCATCCGACAAGGATCAGTCACGTTAAACGATCTTACAGATCTCGACAACCGATCACGTCTACCGTTATTATCCCCGGCCGATAGGCTATAAAGGGGGAGAAGGGAGGGGAAGGGAGGGATGGAAAAAAGAGATTAACAACCGAGCACGGCCGAACATTTTCCAACGATGACGCCGCGGCGAACACGGTCACTCCACGACGGACGTCGTCCATCGCGACGCCCGGCACCTGGTGAACGATCGAGGAGGATCGCCTGAGATACCACGCGAGAGAGGCCACGCGAGAGTCAAGTTCTCACACGCGAGAAGCCAAATCGCCGCGCGGCACGATCACGGTATGCATACGTGAACACGCGTGAAGAGTTAAAGGCTGTTTCACGCGACGAGAGAGGGGTCGGTCGAATCAAATCGAATTTCATCTTATCTTCTTATCCGTCGATTATATAAATATCATTATATAATAAAAATAGGAACGTTGAACGTTGGACAATATTGTTCAATATTGTTGAGATTAAATTCGATCAGTTCAGATTTCCATCGAGTTGGTTTCTATTGAATTTGTGTTCGATCTATTAAGGATAAGTAATAATAGGATCGCTTTTTAAACGGTTTTTTTTATGAGTTTGTACGATTGTATATATCGATATCGATTGTCGTTTGAACGAGTTTGCACGATGATCGTTCGTTTATACATCGTGAAAGAGGCATAAAGAGGAGCGTTTAAGTAGATACAGAACGAGACGACGAGAGTAGAAAAGGCGAGTGACGGGAGAATCGTGAAGAGCGGAGGCTTGTCTGGACTCGTGATTGTCCGTGGACACGTGTCTGTTGATAATAAAACATGATATAACGGTTTGCGTACGATATCTGCGAACATATGCGGTCTGATCATACGTACCTATGTGTGCCGTACACTTAGGAGTATAAATTAAATGGAAGGATGAAATTCTTATTCGTGATTTTCTTAACAAAAATTAAGTCTTGCTCCCTTCTGATTATCATTGTAAATAATTCTTAATAATTTACAGATGAATATTCTATCATCGATTATAAGATATTTTGACACGAAATGGAAAGATACTATAATATTTACGTTATATCTTACAGAAATTCGTACATTTATTACGTATAGAATCCAGGAATCTTATCAATACGAATCTGTAGACGATGTCTGTAGATATTCACGGATAATAAAACAGGATCTATTTCGTATATCTGAATACAGCATATATACTATCTCTACATATATGTTACATATCATATAGGAGACTCTGAGAGTTGTTATAGATATCTAACAGTCTTGTGTACAGATTCATGCCTGTAGATGATCGTATCTAGATACGTATCGGTGAATAATAAAACAATATAACAATTTATACACTATGTCTATTGAACAATGCAACATGCAGACCTGTGTACTCTGTGTGTACCGAATGCCTTGTGTCTGCAACCGATGTCTCTGACTAACAATAAATCTGGACGAGTCTTAGGAGATATTATCTGCAGATGTGTAACCATGTAGAGATCTTTGTTAACGTGTATTTTCGTTATTGGCTGGGTCCATGATATGTAATATCTAACATAAAACGCACGAGATAAGTATATCGAAAAAAGAATAAAGTAGAACGACAAACAAACAATAAAATGGGAAGGTATTGACTACGTAGAATAAAGATTCTCATAACCACGGTTTTATTTGTGAATTGTAGATACGATCTTATTCGTTGCAAACTCGTATCTTCTTTATCAGAGAAGATTTTTCTTTTGAATCCAATTTGCAACAATATGGAATATAATGAAGAAAAGAATTGTCTAATTTCCAAAATGAAATGTACAATCTTATTTCTAAGAATTTATATTTCCCAATTATATGAAAGAAGTAATTGCAAGAAAAATTAAATTAAATAAGAAAAAAAAAAAAACAAGCTTTTTTTGTTTTATTCTGCTTCTTAACTTAAATAAAGTAAAGTTATTTTTTACTCTTCTTTCTTCATACGTTCTTCATACGTAGGCAATATAGATCTATTTTCATTAATACGAAAAGAAAAAAAATTGTACAACAATCCTTGCAAAGTTATTCTAAGACTTATTGTCTTATTAATATCTAAATTATAATAGAATAACGAGTTGGATTCCATTTATCTAAATATATTAGAGAAGATAAGATAGCACCAATAATCAAATTGTTCGGATAATAGAGATCCAGTAGCTACTCTCTCCACTTGTTCTTATTAGATTTCTTAATGAAACAAACTAATAATAGAAAAACTGAAATTCAACACTTGCATCATTTTCTCTAAACGAAACATAATTCGACCGTTCTCCCTCATCGATATGAACACAATATGAAACAGATGAGTGTAAGTATTCCTTATTAGAATACGAGTTTAACTTGGCTCGAACGTAGAAACTAATTCGCTTCTGTATAATTACCCAAAATATCCGTAAAATATGGATTTATTATGCAGAAATTATTGTTCTAATATTTATACATTGTTTACTACATTGTTATTAAATTGATAAGACACTCGTTGTTAATTAATAAAAAATTTCATTTCTTTGATACTTGTAATTTTTTGCCCAATATACAGTAAAGTAAATATTGAAATTTATCGTTAAAAGGCGTATTTTATCTTTGTCGTATAACATTTTTAAGCACAAATATATATAAGATTACGTAATTTATTTAACTTAACTCACTCATCGTGTGCATTATTAAACAAATAAAATTTATATATCTATTACAACTGATGTATGATAAACAAAAAAACAATTAATCCAATAACAATATCGTAAACAAATGCATAAAACAATAATCTCTCGCGCACAGTGGTGACCGAGTATTAATATAATTCGCTCTAGATTATTCTCAAATATTAAACAAATATTAAAACACGTCGGAAGAATTATATTAATCGCAGACACGTGTCTGAGGACAATTGGACCGCAAGTCTGGGACCAAGCCTTAACCTGACACTTAGACTGCAGACGCGTATACGCGGAATGGACAAGATTGGCAAAATTAATTTTGCAGCCTGCAACGAGGACGAGCAAACTTAAAGGAAGAAACAGGGATATATATATATATATATATAATTTTACAGAGATCGTTTCGACCACGTTTTACGCACTTTCCACCGATCCAAGGAACACCGCCAGGCCTATATTCGAACGGCCTCGCGCATGACCCTCTTTTTCTTTCTTTTTCTTTTTTTCTTTGATCATTGACTTTATTATTATCCCGAGACCGATGGTGCGTGAGAACCGGAGAAAGTGCGCGGCTAATAAGATATCTCACGTGATCCTTCGTTCTATTCTCCGATCGCCGATCCACCACGATCGCGATAAAGCTTCCGCGATCCGATCCTCTTGATCCTCAACGAACGCTCTCCTCGAACGGAGTGGAGAGGAATCTCGGGGGAAAAAAAAAAAAATCACAGAAAAATCTCCGTGTTTCGCGCACTTTGTTCACACCTTTCTTCTCCTGTATATCGTCCTATGTACAAATATAATATTCTCTCACTTCTTCTTCCTCCTTTCTCCCCCCTCCCCTCTCCCCCCCTCCTCTTCCTCTTCTATATTCCTCTCGTTTTCGAAGAACGAGTTTCACAGGGTTTACATCCTTCGAGTGCCGAGATTCGATCACCGCCGCGAAACGATCGATGACGCGGCGACACGTCGGAGGAGCAAGAATCACGAAGGTCGACGCGAGTAGGGTGTCGCGAGTACCGCATCGAGAATCCACCAATCCACAATCCACAATCGGCAAACCTCTTTCTCTCGAGCCCCTCTCGAGCCACAGCCGAAACACCGAAACCGAAACCGGACCACTATTGCATAGATAGTCGTCAACCGATGGGATCGAAACGGCGAGAAACACCAACAATTGTTTGTCAATTGATTATACGCGACGCGATGACGAAGGTAAAGGGGTAGAAAAAGGAGAGCGAGAACCCGTCTTCTCGAAACGTCGGCGCACGTCGGGAGTTTTTTCGCGCTGGACCACCCGGAGGAGACCACCGAGGTTCCTCTGATCCTCTACGCCGTCCTCTCCCTCGTACTGTGTATACGCCGATAAACCACCCACCTCCTTCCTACCCTGTCCTGCCCTTCTACACACCCCGCCACCCCTCTCTCCTCCTCGACCCTCCAGCCCAGTAGTAGTAGTAGGATGCGGGGAGTTAACTGGGGTGGGATCAATATGAGGTTGAGCGAACGCGGGAAATTCGCGCGCAGGTCCTTCTCCACCCTCCACCCTCCGCCGCTCTCCTCGTCTCCCGTCCTCTGCCCACACCCTCTCGCCCGTCCTTTTCCAACGAATCCGACTCCGACTCTGCGACTCCTCGCCTCCTCTCTACCCCCCCGCTCCCCCACGGCCACACCACGCTCGCCCTTCTTTCTTCCTCGCGCTTTTCCCGCTCCTTTTAGCGACCGTCGTTCGCATTCCCTCGCCCCTCGCCCCTCCCTGCTTTCTCGCGCCCACCACCCTTCGCGGTGGCGGCGGCTAGAGCCCACCCTTTTGCTCGACTCTTCTCAACCAGCTGCCCTGTTTCTAAGCCTCACCTGATTCTACACGCACGAATCGTGGACAACATTGGCGGTGGTCTACATTCGGTGGCCGACCCGGGTGCCGGTAATAAACCCTTTGCGCCTCGTGCCCGCATTCGAATCGTAATTTCGATTCTCTCGAGAAAGTTCTTTTCTTTTTTTCCCCTTCTTTTGCCCCTCGAAGTTTCGAGGAATGAGGGCTCGTATCGTTTATTTTTGCATCGTTGTTTGGAATAATGTATATATATGTGTGTGTATGTATGTATGTGTTTGGTATTTTCTTGTTTTTTAGATTGCACGTGTATTCCCTTTGTTTGGAAAATTGATAAATTGATTTACGGATTGGTTGGATTATATTGGGTTTAGATTATTCTTTTCTCAATTTTATATTGTTTGTATGTTCGATGATTAGATGATTTTTCTTGTTCAAGGTTTGTCTCTTTAAATGTTCCCTTTTGGAGGAATAAAATGAAGTTTTGGAGGGATAATAGTCTGATATCATTTTGCAGTAAATGTATATAAAATTTTATAAATATCGTTGAAGTATTACGGGAAAACTTCGTATGTTGTATATTAATTTTGATATGTGAAAAACATTGACAAAGATATGGAAAAATTTTATTTTTCAATTGGGCGGAGGAAATATGAAAAAATAGCGTGTGTTTCAAATAAAACAATTCTGGAGAAAGAAAGAAAGAAAACAAATTGTATCTACGATATCTGTTATGAAATACTCGGATTCCATAGGGAATTATTTTAAAAATATATCGTAAAATATACAATAATAAATTGATAAAAATCTCATGTTTTTTTATTTTTTCATATTACAAAAAGTACAATTTTATAATTTTTATTTTTAATTAGAAAGATGAAATAGAAAGGAAAACTTTAAAATATTAAAATTTTCCCGGATGCAAAGCGGATTGTAATGGTAGAACATATAAAACTGATTTCTTTGTTTTTATTCTTTTTTTTAAAAAAGAAGATTTTGACGAGAGTTTGATGTTTCGTTCATTTGGATTCTTTGAAGGGAAAAATATTTATGACAAAAAACTCAGTTATCAAAGGAAAGCAAATCTGTTGTGTGATTCGAACGAATAATTTTGTAGATATTGATTTCACGGATAGACCTTTGTGAAAAATGGTCTTTTTTATGATCTTTTTGATTTATTTTATTACGTATGAGTTCTCTCTTTTTTATTCTGAGAAAATGGATTTTAGTTTCTATGTATTTTTCTTTTATTTATTTCTTGATAATTGCTAAAATAAAGTTATAATTATTTTTTCTCAACACTATATTGTATCAAACTAAAATAAAAATTATTAAAATTATTAAAATCATTTTTCATATAACGATTAAGAGTAAACAAGAATCAAAAATAAGAGAACAAATGTTGTAAAATTTAATATCTTTTATTATCATCAAATTTCAAATTATTATTTAAAAAATAAATATTAAAATTTGTTGGATCGATATTCGTGGTTCTGGTTTGATCCTGATCTCGCCAATTTTTATGCAAATACAATTCCAAGGAAGAAAGAAGATCGATTTCTACGCGTTCCCCGTGTCATAAACTTTGGTGAATGTTGTTAAACGTTCAAGGAACACGAAATATTTCGACGAAGTTCTATAAAAGTTTCTTAAGTTTCTTTCTAAGAAGAACGAGCTCGAAAATTATTAACTCTTCAATCGTGTTCCCTCGTTTTATTCTCCAAAACTATTATTACGATTGTTATTTATTTGTTGTTCCAACGATTATTATTCCAATAAAAATATTCAAATGAAAAAAACAATTAGAAATGTACATTCATGAGATTGGAAAATAAAGAATATCAGGATCAAAGGGTATAGAAAATGATAAACGATTATTAGAACGAAAAGAAAAGCTGGTAAAATTTGAACAAAAGAATATTTAAAATAAATGAACTAAAAAAAATACAGAGATTAGAAGTAAAAATTATACTAAAACCAGAGAAATAAAGATCTTTGTGAAGTTAACAATGAAAAAAAAAATGGATAATAAGACAGAAGAAAAGAACGAATGAAATTATAGTGGATAAAATCCTGAATAAATGACAAAACTGAGATGACTTTATATAACGGAAGAATATTTCATCCAACCAAGCTATATTAACTTGAACTATGAACTTCATAGTTCAACTCTTCGCAACGTGTCCTTTTCCTTTCGAGTGTACAATTTCTCTCTGAAACGAGAGACGATCGGCTGAAGTTGGATTACGTTTATGCTATTACTATCCAGAGGCCCTTATGGAAGATGCCTTTTCTCGAAAATTCTCCGTTAAACGGTGAAAATTTCAAGTTAAAGCCACGATTTGCAACTTATTTTGCGAACAAATGTTTGAACAGCGCTGCAATTAGGCGAAAAATTTCTTCCTTTCGGCATGTTGGATGAATTAAACGAATTCCAGTGAAATTCCACTTTCCAGTTTCCGGCGAGTGTCAATAAAATCTTTGTTTTGGAATTCAGATTTTTTTTGACTTGAAATACTTTGATATGAAGGATATTAAACTGATTGAATTGCATTATTATTATTATTATTGTTATTATTATTATTAGTTAAAATAAGACAATTTAGAAGAGAGAAACTTTTTGAATCGAATTAATTAATAGTTCAGTATCTAATTTTAGAAGAATAAACGATGAGACTTAATCAGAGTAAATTTTATTCCATGTTTTTTGAGCGAAGATAAATGAAATTGGAAAGCTTTATTAGGAAAATATTTGGGTCAGTAATTTTACTCTTAATTTTCTGCATATTTATTGTATGTTGTGTATAGTTCTATAATAAATGCATAAAATAATTAAAAAAATTCGTAAGAGATGGTACTTGAAATTTTATAATGATAATCAAATTGAACAAAAAGTTTTTAATTTGTCGCTTATTTGAATACAAATAAAGAGACAATAAAATAAAAGATATTGAGCTAATTTTTATCTTTCTATGATTTTCATATTAGAATACATACTCGTGAAAATTTAACAATTTTCCAAATAAATATATTTTTAGCAAATTTTTTTACGAGTTTCTTTACAAGAAAATAATCATTCTTTTCAATTTCATACATTCGAATAATGAAAAAATAATTATTTTCTCTTGCCACTTCTGAATTTTACGTAATGCCGTTATTATATCGCGAAAAGGTTAACAATCAAAGTCACAATGGTCGAGATACTTTTTCCAAACTCTAGAGAGCCTTTCTCGTCGTGAGACCCTCCTCCGAAGGATAAATGAGCCCTTCCGGACCGTGAACGATGCCGGCGACGATGAGATTCGAGGCGGTGAATTGGAATCCGGCCAGAAGAACGCAAATTAATGACGTCATCTCTGTGGCCACCACCACGATCTTCGTAATTATGATCGCAAATAGGAGTAGGCCGTACCATGCTTGAAACCCGTACGAATTCCACCGACCACCGATGAATTTACATTGCCCGATACATTGTTATCGGTATAACAGGTAAACTATTGATAAACAGGTTGTGGATGAGCATCTGCCTCGTCTGGCTATTATTATTTCGATCGCGAATAACAGAAATGTAAATTTGCAAAAATTAAGAAGCAATGGAATTATGTAGTTCGATATTCTCTTTCAGGACATAATTATAGACTTAAGAGAAAAATTCATCATCGATTACTTATAATAAAAGCATTTTTTTTGCGATATTTTTATAAACAAAATAAAACGTATTAAAATTTGAAAATTTACAATTGTCTAATTAATCGTCTCTAATATATCCCAAATCAATTCAAATTTCTAAGCAATAGTGACATTCTGCCTTTTACGATCCTAACTCCATAAAAACAATGTTAATTAAAAAACTTGCAGGGTGCATCGAATGTGTATCACAGATAGGCCTGCCTGACACATGTATATACATAAATGCATGTAAATATATAAACGAACGATCGAGCATAGGATACCGAATACATATATACATATATGTATATATACACTGCGTAATGTAACTCGTTACCTGAACCTACCACAATGTGAGGAATGGATTGGACTATCATCTGAGAGAGATAGCAACATTTCTAGGCCAGATCATCTTGAAAATGGCGTCACTTACGCTTTGTCTGATAAGTGAGGTTAGGTACGAAGCAGTTTCCTTTACTGTACCGTCGAACAGTGCAGTTTTTTTCAAGATATCTATCTGTTTTTTGTGAAACGTTAAAATATAATATAAAATAATAGATTTTTATATTAACAAGAAGTGAATTAATTATAATTAAATCAGAAGATAGTGTCTATTGGACAATAATGAAATTATTTAATTTAGTGTTACATTATTAGAGTTTGAGAAGGATAATTCTAATCATTTAGGAAATTGTGATAGAAATAAATGTAAATTCATTTATAGTGATTATGTGCAACAAGCTAAACATATATAAATTTAAATTGGATAAATTAAATATTTAAAGAATATATTGAATTTAATTTTTATGATAATATTTATTTTTATAATAATAAGTTAGTTTATTGACATTATAGTTAATAATATGTATAATATATTCATGAAAATAAAGCGATTAAATAAATTTGTTTATATGTGATGTTCTTTTAAAAATATTAAAAATATTTATTCTTTATTAAATAAATTTAATAAATTTGATTGCGATTAAATGATATTTATGATTATGTACAATAAAATTAAAATATTATTAACATAGAAATATATTTTACAGTAGAAAAATTTCAATTTTATACAAGAATACATATAAGTGTGTAAATAAGGGACAAAAAGGAAGATGTTAATATAATTTTAAATGTTCTATAATCATATATATACTTTAAACCATGATATCGAATGTGATAGGGACATTTAATGCATACAACTTGCCAAATATCGTCTGATGTGCTATATAGTTTGAGATTTTGATATTATATTTGGCGCGAATAGTACAGCAATACAATTTAATAGGATTTTATACATATATATGGTATATTATACATATATCTACTAATTTAAAAATAAATTTCTAGAAATGAAATTATCTTTCTAAAAATTTTTTTCTAAAATGATTACACATATAATATGTATGTTATGTTTGCATATATTTTTTTTAACGATAAATTATTTATTAAAAAGAATTTATTTATATAATTAAAACAAATTTTATATAATAAATTCTTCAAAATTTATAAATAATTTTAAATATAATTATGTATTTTGTGTCAAATTTTAAATATTAATTATATATCTTATGCTCCATGATTTGTAACAATTACGCAAAAAAATCTCGTTGATTTGTGATCGTCATGAAGTATTTTTACGCTTCCATAAGAGGATTATCAAGGAACGTCGAGTAAAAAATGAGAAATGAAAAGGTAAGATAAAATTACCTCGAGTTGAATCGTATTATTACTATAATCCCAAGATATTAGTCGTCACGTAGTTATACATTTATCCGACAAATCTCGTTCATCGTTTTTCTAACTAAATTGGTCACTTAAGTATCAATTTAATTTTTGTTTTATACTTATCATTAATAATTCAGGAGTTATCTTATTTGTACAAAAATTAATATATTTTGGTGCATTTTTAAATTAAATAAATATAAAGAATTACAAAGAGAATATATTTATTGATGATACATAATATATAGCATTTAAAGTAATTAACAAAATAATAATCTTAATTTCATATTTATATTTTACTATTTCATGTATTTATGTCACTAAGTACTTAATATTTAAAAATTATCACGAGATATTCAATATATCGAAAAATTAAACATTATTTTTATTTTTTTATAGCTATCGTATTATTATTTTCCTCAATTATCATTTTTCTCTGAAACTTTTAATTTTATTTTAATACGAAATAAATTAACATGATTAACTACAATGTAATGAAACATATTAATGCAATTACAAAATTATATTTCATATAGTTTTATAGTTTATTTATATTCGTCAATTACAGTAATTAACAGAAGACAAGTTTCGTTCAAAATGAATTGATAAAAAAGTTAACCTCATCTGTCAGTTAATATTCATTTCAAAATATCGTGATCATGATTAATAGAAAAATCAGTTTGCACTCCTCGAAATGAAATGGGATGCAGAAGATTGAAATATGTTATCGTGACGATTGTGATCAATGTGATTGCAACATAAATTATAATTTATTCGAATCAATTGTACCATGTTGAAGCTGCAAATATGCCGTTGCTTCAATGCTCTTTCGATCAAAGTGTGTTTATTACGCGTGAACATCATCACAATTGGATTCGATGTTTCGCGCGAAATTTGAAATTGAGGTTATGTACTAAATGCCCTATTTCTCGTTTGCATCGTATTGTTCATAAACGGGTGCTTTAATTTATGGGCGGAGATTTTGCGAGTGGGCTGTAACAACATAATACGAGGCACTAAAATGCAGTATTTGATAAGACAATATTATCTGAATTGAAAATATTAGCATGATAATGATGAAAAGATAGAAAGAATAATCGTTATGATGTGAACCATTTGCTAAATAAACAGAAATGATAAAAATATTTTATATATTTATTAATTATTTTTAATTTTACATAATTGTTACATATATAAATAATTATATGTAAAATATATAAATTATATCATATATAAATTAAGTAATAAATTAATTTTTTATTTTACTAGTTTATTTATAAAATTGAAAAACTTGAAAATTTACCCATGAAAATGTGAATCTAATAAAAATGTTTTGATACAAAAATAAGGATTTAAAGAATTTAGAGGATGTTTTATTAGAAATAAGTTATCTTAATATTTTTTGTAGTATTGATATTAAGAAAAAAAAAAAATATAAATGTGAAATAGATGATTTCAAAGGATCATATAGCACAAAATTTCTTTAGACAATTTTTCTCAAAGAAATCAAGGTTAATCATATTTGTTTTTAAATAAAAGATTTAAATAACAATGTAAATAACATAGCATAAATATTATATTCTTAAATTAAATTCTATATTCAAAATAAAAAAGATAATTTTTTTAATAATAATCCATATAAATAACATTTCATCGAAGACTTACAAGAATATGAATAAAATATATAAAAATAATTTTAAAATTATTTTAAAAAAAATTAAAAAATTTTTTTAATGAAAAATTTTGTATTAATCCTATAATAAATGAAGCAGATTTTTATTTCGAGATATGACAAATTAATATTATCAACGATATGTCATCAGTTGAAATTTAACAAACTGAAATCAGCAAGAAAACAGACATATGTTGTCTTCGTTGAACGAGAGAACGTAGACAATCTACCCACATTCTATTTTATTCGGGAAATCAACGTAAACGCATACACCGACGCGGTTGAAAACAAAACGTTGCACGAATTTATAACTGGTCATGAATAATATTTCTGTCTACAATACGAATTTCCATTACAGTTAATGGAAATTCAGTTTCACGCTATATTTAATATGTCAAAGAGGAAGAAAAGAAAGAGCGAGAGAAATAGAAAAGGAGAAATATAGGAAGAGTAGTGAAATTAACAGCAAATTGTAACCAAAATTTAAATCTTACCATGATACCCACATACTCACCTGAGGAACTGCGTATTTGTACCCGCATTCCCAATACAAGTGGATAGACTGACACGGTGATTAAGTGGCACGGCATCTCATGTTTACGTGTACATTAGTTTGTACAACGAGAGTGTGCGTGGTACGCATTGTACGTGGCAGGTATAACGATTAAAGGCTAGTCCACAATGCAACATAGGTCAAAGATTCAAGTTATAGGCAAAATGTTAGGCGCTCAAAGACGCTTTTCCCACTATATATATTATATTCGATGGAAAAAGATATAAAGTCGTGAAATTGGTTAGAAGCTAAAGTTTACATGTTTCGAGAACTGGAACATTATTTAAAATTAAGATATCTTGGACGCATGATATGAAAATTTGTGTAAAAATTCCACGTGCTACTATTTGATTGGTCAATGGGATATAATAAAAAAAAATGAAGATGGATTGAGAAGATAAATACGATCGGTATATGTTTCATGTATTTTAAATTCAATGATTCTTCCAATATCAATAACAAAAATTTATTGAAAATTTATAGAAAAAGACATTCAACTTGTTAAATGAGCATCGATTTAATAAAAGGTGATATAAATCGATGAGAAATATATATGCATACGAACCGTATGATCGTAATTAAGATACAATTGCAAATCAACAGAACGTACCATCGATTTACATAAATACTCAGTACGAAGCATTATATTTTCATGGGGTAAACAAAGCATTTTTCTCCCAACATTCAACCACGTGCTAGGAATTCCGCGAACATGCGGGCATACGAACATGATCCATGAATTGTTTGCATCTTTTCACACGATTTTCATTTAGATAAGCTCTTATGATCTGTACGTTCGATTTTTTATATGGTCATGTGGGCCTGACACATAATCTTAGGGGAATCAAAGGGAATAAAGACAAGGCTTTATAATTTGTCAAAATACGATAGTAATAATGAAGATGTTTATTTTTTTAAAAAAGGAAATTTATTTCTTTGTATTTGAATATTTTATTTATGCATTTAAAAATATATGATTCTAAAAAAAAACAAAATATATAAATATATACAAATTCTTTACAACATATAAAAAAATTAATTTATAATTAATAATATATAAATATATTATTAATATAATTATTAATGTTAATGAATATTAATGTAAAATTAAGTTTCAATTCTAACATTAAATTATTTATTATGGCTAAAATTATTAAATTAATTATTATGGATTTGTTTTTTATACAAACGGAGAATAGATAACCTCCAAATTATAATGCGAAAAAGTATATTTTGTCAATTATTCTTATATCTTGTTTGTGGTGTCATCTTATCGGTTTAAAAAGCAAATTATATGTGATAATACAGTCGGTAATACAGAAATCTGTGTGTCGATAATATAGTTGCATTACAGGAATCTGCTACATCTATAGCTGTGAAAAAGGAAGTAGATAAAATAAATACATGTTACTAGAAAAAAGCCAAAAATTCCTTGATTTATGATAATTAATGTCATTATTCTCTATTTTGTTATTTAATTAATTATTTTTAATAATTTACGATCTATTATATCTATACTATATATTATATAATAATTCTATTATATTTTATTTTATTATATATATGTAATAATTTAATATTATATATAAAGATGCACAATATACTAATTTCATTATATGTAACATGATTCACACGTTATAATGAATAAAAATTTATATTTAGAATTCAAATGAAAATAAAAAAAATATAATTTAAAAAAAAAAAGGAAAAATCCTTTTTATAAATTTCTCTGTATTAATTTTAAGAAAAAATTTTTATTTGAAATAATTTTATACTCATATTAATTTCCTAATGCTTAATGCTTATCATCGATAAAAATAATATTCTACATTTTTTCTTTAATCAGATATTCATATTAATTTAAATCAAATTAATATAATAAAATTATCAAGAAATTATTTTAACTATATAAAAATTACATTCTTATAGTATTCATATTAAAAAAAAAAAAATAATAAATTCTAAAGAAACAAAATATTAATAACATGCTTAACACGATTTCTAACCACAAATTTCAACCATCTGTGTGATACGACAATATTCGCGACAAGTTTAAACACGTCTCAACAAGTCGTAGCCTGACTCGTGGCCCTTCTCGCTGCTAAACTCATTTCTTTTTATTTTTTTTTTCTTTCGTGATCCTGTTGTCTAACAAGGACGACACTGGTTTTTGCGGTTTAACAAGTGGAACTTTGGCCAGTCTCGTTTATCAGATGATTAACGCACTGACCGCAATTTAAAAAAATCTTAAAAGGATATTTCCCCGCATGGTTTGTCGACTGAGCAACTGTTCACACGAGCGTGCAAATTTCATTTTTTATACACATGAAAATCAGACTTATATTATAATCGTTAAATTTTTTTCTTTTAAGAAAATAAAATAATAAATTATAAAATTATTAAATAGATTTTTAAATATATTTTTGTTAATTTTATATTATAAGATTCAATTTAATTACTTTTTCTCATCTATTATATTCATTATATGCAATAATATATATAATACATATAATTATGTATATTGTACATCATCTTTTATAACATTCATATATTTAATTCTTAAATATTTTCAAGGAAAATTTTAAAATTGTTTTTTTTATCAATGTTTATTATAATACAGTTCTTTATTTCAAATTAAAAAGTTTCTAAATATCAATATTTTTATAATATTCTAATAATTTTATAATATTTTTATTGTTCTTGTAAATCCGTAGCATCAGAAATTGATTATTTGATAAATTAAAATTACCTTACGTTTCGTAGTACACATTCCATCCTATTTCTCAGCTACTTGAGCTATTTTCTAAAAACATCCGCTATCCCATTGCAATGCATAGCAGGCTGATAACCTCAAGAATATTTCGATCGGTACGCAAATTCACATATTACCACGATTTTCATACAGAACATTCACAAGCTTCGAAATAAATTTTACACAACACCATCAACTCATTAATTCAGAGATTGTTCGTTTCCTAACTTTTGGAATCTTAACGAAACTTCTTCGAACTTTTGTACGATAAAGGAAGAAACTTTCAAACAAAACTTCGTTTAATATAGATCAAACTTTCTAGACATATTTACTTAGAAATATTTGCCATTTTTTAGGTTATGTTCTTTTTCTTTATTTTAAGTCACTATTATTCTTGTAGATATTAATAATATAAAAAATTAAACACATGTTTAAACACATAAATTTTTATGCAAGAATTTTTTGTCTTCTTTTTATGATTATATAAAACAAAGAATTGGGATTTGATCGTGAAAGGAAGCGAAATGCGTTTCAACGTGTTATCTACTTGTAGCGGAACATTACCACGTGCTCAAGATCCGGTTTGGGCAAAATTGAATTCATGGTTAAGCACCATCTGTCTGGCCAGGAAAAAATTTATGATCCATGCAATCAAAATTTATACTACGTCTTAGAAGACAAACTTTTTTTTTTCTCACATTGTATTATGCTATATTATATTTATGTTGAATGATATTTAAATATTATTTTATAATATTTAAAATTATATTTCTTATCTTTATTAAAAATATTTATATACATCTTTAAATATACTTAATTAATATATCATACTTATAAATAATATTCATATATTATGTAATATTTATGTAGATCTATAATATTTAATTTTTTTAAAAAAAAGTATGAAATGTCTGGATTTACATAGTTTTAAATCCTAAACAAATAAAATCTAAGAAAGTAACAAATCACTAAAATTTCGGTTCAAATGTAATAATGAAAAAAATGAAGAATAAGAAACTAATAACGAAAAGCGGAAACACAAAGTCAACTTTCCAACCACGAATTATTCAAATGGAAAATCGTGGTGCACAAGCAGAGTGGGCAACGATGGTTCAAATGGTCCGTATTTCAATAATGATAAATCACCATGGTTCGACGCAACGACAGACATGACCGGTTGAAGATCTTGCCGCGAGATATCGCCATCAGGGGTCTATCTTATACCTTCTATCTTATATGGTCCCTGTCTTCTTTGGTTTCTGCCCTACAGAACGTTTCAAAATCCATTTCAACTATGAATCCCTTTTCATAGATGCCCTCAAGAATACATTTTCTCCGATTTGAAAAATTATATGTATCTCATATCTTTATTCATCTCATCTATAATAGTCTTTTAATATGATTATTTTCTTTTCTTTTCTTTTTTCTAAACACATGTATCAAATAACTCATAAAACAGACACTATTTTCTAATATATATGTAGTTCAGTAAGGATCAATTTTTATTTGTAATTAAAAAATTTTATAATAAAAAATTTCAATATTTATTTATTTCAATGTAGTTATATAAGAATAGAAAAAAAGAGAATAGAATATATTAAACAATTATTAGAATACTATATATTTTTTTATATTGATTTTTCTGATGTATGATTTATTGATACTAATAACAATATAATAGCAATAATAATTATTTGAATAAAAATGAAACTATTTTTAATGATATTCTAGATGACTAATACTTTATAGATGCAATAATAATGTATGTAACTGAATATATTCTTTTATTTGAATATCAATGAATCTATTTTAACAGGTTAGGTTGGATAAGTTTTTGCAATGAATTTGACTTATGTTTGTACAAGTTGAATGTGTTGAATATAGATTGTAAATATTATGAATATTTCCTTTATTGATAAATGAAAATGAAACAATATAAAATTTTATCAATTAATTATGAACTATTTTTATTATTTCATTTGTTTAGTTTATTTATCATTATTCAAATGAAAACCAAAAATTGAAACTTTATTTAAAACAACTGATTATAAATAATAATATAATTAAACAATTAATTATAAATTCATAATTCATCAAGAGATATTTACGATCAACAATAATAAAAGAAAAAGATTTTATACGTAATAAAATTTAAATTGCTATTAAATAGAGAATTATTGAAAAAGAATTAAATTAATTATTTAATTAATAAATAAAATTAATTGGATGAAAAATATCCACGATTAAATTTGAATGATCCATACATAACCTACAACAAAACCACTAACGAAAAAACATCAGAGTATAATATCTATTCTATGTTGAATTTTTACCATGTAATAATTCTTTAATAAAACCAGAAAATAACATTTATCATTCACAAAAGTTTAACAAAAGTATAAATTTATAAAATAAACATTTCCAGAATAAAATATATCTATCAATCTAAAAATTCAGATCAACTTCGATGTTCAATCAATTTTTCAATAATTTCAATCCTATGAAATAAATTATAACTGTTCACAAAAAATTTAATAATCAAACATTTACGAACAAACAACAAAATAAAATATCTATCAATTTCTTAAGCAAATAAATAACAAACATAACCTCAATATTAAATCGATGTTTTGCGCCTTCAACTAGTTTAACTGAGTAACGTACATAAAGAAATCATCTTTATTTGTTCTTTATCTACAGTTTATACAATTTATATATATATATACTTCTAAAAATCGTTCTTAATAATTTCCTAGAAACGTTCAATTTTATACGAAGCAACGCGTTACATGTTCCCGCGGCGTAAGAAATATTCGCGAGATAACTCCTACATAAAGATATTATGCTTTGATATATGTTCGGACGAAACGTGGGGGATTATTCAGCTGCGAGCATATCGTGAAAGCAAAGATCGATTGAAAACGCGTATACTCCGAGTGATTGACGACGATGTTCCCTTTCGCAACCGTGGGAATTTTTCTCGAAGACAACGGAACGTTCGTATTGTCCCTCTAGTCACTAGAAACTAGTGTGCAATACTGCTATAATATTGGCGGGCATTCGATTACACATGCGCAATGGATGACCAATGGAATTTCGGTCGTGCGAATAAGAGCGAAATTTGATTTTAAATTAATCTCGATGCGATTATACGCAATTATTGTTAAAATAAAAATGATATCCAATGGTGAATGATTTGTACCGTTAGATGAAAGATTAAATATTGATGAAGAAATATGATGAAATTATTGATAGTTATGGTTAAAAATAATGATATTTTATAATAAAAAATTCTTATTGCATTAATAACATTTTTATTTTCCAATCATCTTCTGACATTTTTGTAGTTGCATTATTGCTCTGTCTAGACGTATGATATATATGCGTAATTTTTGAATTGAGTGACGTTATAGGGAGTTAAACAGATTAAAATAACAATCTTTCTTCAATCGGTCGACTTCCATGCTGCGAATGTTTTCAACGCGCGACTGCCGCATACCTGAGCGCATTCTCGTACTCGCAAGCATTTCTTCGACTTCAGTTGTCGTTGGCTTTTGCACGTCATCGTGAGTCAACTGAGCGGGATCGTCAAACGTGGCTAGTGATGGAATGAAATATATTGCAAATAAATATTCCGTCGTATATCTATAATAATAAGAAATTTTTTTTATATCTTTAAAAAATTTAATTTTGAAAGAAAAATTTTAATACCTAAAGTTTTTACTATTATGATGTCATCTTTGCAATTCATAAACTTCGTAGTAATAAAAGTTTAACCATGAAACTTAAAAAAATATTGAATATCTGATTTTATAATTGAATATTTTTATAAACAGAATAATATCATGGTTAAAATTTTAAATTAATGATAAGTCTAATTTAAAAATTTCTTCTTTCTCTTTATTCTTTCTTTATTCTTTACTCTCTATGTTATTTATAGTAAAAACATTGAAAATAATCTTTGCGGCATATAAAAATAAATCAGATATGACTCAATAAAAAAGAAATACAATGATAATACGTCGTAGATTGAGATGTTTTCAAGTAAGATAGCATGTCTCAAGTGTTATGTTAGTATTATTAGAAGAAAATAATTTTTGATTGAGAAAGAAAAGATAGAAAAGAATTAGAGAATGATGTAAAGAAAATTATTACCTTTGCACTGAAAGGAAGAAAAAGAGAGTAATTTCTTTCTTCATCTGAAGATAGAAGATTAAAGGACAATGGAAACAGAATTATTAAGTCTTGCATAGGAACAGAAAATGAAAGACTAGTCTGGAGCTCAGGATAATTGAATATTTTGAAAACGTATTCATAACTTAAGGTCAATGGAAATTACCCTTGAGGCAATTTGAAGATATAATTGAAGGGATAGAATAGGGATGAAAATGAAGATATATATTTATTGTATTTCGATGGATAAAACGAGTTTAAAAAGTTTTGAAAAATTTTGTTTGTCCAATGAGAATCATTATAATAGAAATTATGATTAATAGAAATAGAATATAATATTTTATTAGAATAATTAAATGATTGAAATAATTGAAATTAATTACAATATCTGACTTTAAAAATTAGAGATTATTGAGTAAAGAAATAAAATTTGAAAAACATATAAATAGATATGTACTTACAGAGATGGCGCAAGTTAAAATTTTATTATGTAAATGAAAATGTTTAAGTAATTATGAACAAATTTTATTAGTTTACTTTATGGAAAAATAATTTTTTTGGAATAATACAAGATCTATGTTGGTTCTCTTGTTTGTTGAAATTACAAGTTTCTCAGTGACCTACTAAAACACAGCAGATGTAATTTGGTAGATCCAGTTACGTCTATATTTCCGTACCTCATATCAAATTCAAGTTCACTTCAACCTAATTTGATAATACAAGACTACAACTGACACGAATCATTTCTCAAATTCTTATTTTTTCGCATTTTATACAATCACATCTATATAAATAAATAAATAAATAAATTGCCTTCTCTGAAAATAAAGATAAAGATTAAATATATTTTAAAAATTAATTTCTAATAATTCATTTCTAAATACAATAATCACCCAATAATCTCACTTTTATTAGGCAATTTTATTATCTTTAATAAAAGATAACTTTCAGATCTTAAAATTTTTTTAAAAAAGCATTTGTTATTATCAAAAATTTATAACTTTTATATTGGTTTTAATGTACTATTATGAATCGTATTATTACTTCTTCCGTATTAAAAGTAAATAAATATCTAGTAGATAAGTGGCATAATACCTCTAGGAACGTAATTAAATCTCACATTGTTTTCAAACAAAATAAATATTTCTCAATTTAGAAACTTACCGAGTCTTGTACAATTTATATCTTCTGCGTATATTTCATTTTATTCATCATCGAGATACGAAAGTGAAAAGATCTTAAAAACAAAATTGGTAACACATTTAATTACATAGAATTATTTTCTACAAATTATTATCATTATCTAAATACTTATCTCTTAAATATATTCTTAATAACACATACAAAACAAACGAATAATAATTTAAATAAAATAATAATCATCAAGATAATTCAATCATTTCTAAACTTGTAAAATTTATTCTCCTCTAAATTT